AACATGGCATATGCTATATGGACATAGATAAATAGTATTGTATATGTTGCTAATTGCATAGATTATATGTGGAAGAATACAAAGAAATGTGACCAGATGGAAGAGAAGAGAGGGACAGAAAATTGCTTTAGATTACGTCAGTGCTTTCTAGCCATAGAAACACTTGCGTAGTTGAACAAATTTAGGAATGATGAATCCAAAGCAAAGACGAAAAATACATAACATGGCAGAATTCGAATGCCTTAGAAGAAGTTACAAAAAAGGACTTAAAGAATTTGGTCAGTGTTGTGTGATCTGGAGAGAGGTTCCAAGAAATATGGATTTACTTCAATTGGAAGCCCTAAGGAAGTGGGTGTGTAACTTCACAACCGGGTTGTCTTGATGATTCTTATTTATAAGCCAAGAAGAACAGAGCAAGGTTAAAGCTGTAGTTGGTGAAGAAGAAGCAGCTACTCATACAAGCCAGATAAAGAAATAATTGCAATCTTTAGTAGTTTGGACAATGCCCTTATTGTTATATGCATTCAGATATAATTACAGAAGGATTTTTTTTGTCTTGATCCATCTGCATCACAGTGGCCTTGTCTGATCCGAATGTCCTGTGAAATTGTTTCTACTTGACAGAACCACAGGTAGATCTGATGAGGGTGCCAGGCCAGCTTCTGGCTCTCAGAGACGGTTTTGCTCTTGATCAACTGTGTATTTTTTTGTGCCTTCACAAGTTTATGCCATGTACTTATCTCACCTACTCAAAACAATTTTTAAAAGAATCTCAGGACTGAAGGAGACTTTAAAAGTCACTGAGCTCTGAGACTATGCCAACCACCACCATCCCCCTCCTCCTCCCACACCAAAGGGTTTCTCTTGTAAACCACTTTACTAAAACAAAACATGGAAAAAATTTTTAAATAATCTAGGAATGAGTAATGCCTTTCTAAATAGGAAACAACAAGGGCATAAAAGCATATTTTAAATAAAATAAAATTAAATAAATAAAGCATAGCAAAAAATATTAGAGATAAGCAACAGAGTTAAACTATTTGCAACTCACGTAACATAGAGCTGATTTTTAAGATATCAGGTCTATGTGCCAGTATAGCATCTGCTTGACTGTCTCCTAGTAGTCTAATAGTCCCAATAGTCTAATAGTCCCAGTAGTTGACTATTGGGCTAATTTATCAGGCAATTCATTCCACATCAAATGACTCTTCCTGTTTTTTGCTCAGAGGAAGAGAACAATGCATTTGGTTAGAATATCTTAATTGTTTCCACCCCAGCATGTTGACCTCTTCAAATGCATCTTCTCCTCTAGTAACTAGCTGAGCAGAATAATTACCTTTCTAATTTTATGTAAAATATTCCTATTAATACTCTCCACACTGCAATTGTCTTTTTTTTTTTGCCACAGTTCCAACACAGTTTTGCATCTTTTGTGATCATTACATTTGCAGGGATTCTTATCTGTTGCTGCTGACAAACCCATTTGTTTTTGTACTCAATTACATGTAATTAGTTTTTTCTTCAGGAACAAAAGAACAGGTGTCTTTATCTATTCTATGCAAGATAGCATTGTAAGGTTGGTTGGACTTAATAATGTCTAGTGAACCAAACAGCACAATTCTGACAGATGCTCATAGTAACAAGATTTTTTTCAAACAATTATATGCTTTTACGCCTACCCACACCAAGTGGAGAAAGAAAATGCATTTTAACACCTTAGAGGCTTATAATTTTCTATTAAAAAATTGAGTAGAATTTAAATCCTTCTCTGATGTTTTAAATCCCCACTCAGAAAATGTGTAAAAATGATTTGTTTTCATTGAAAATTTTTTAGTGAAAATATTGGAAGGGGTGACCATATAAAAGTACATTAGTCAAAAAAACTAGTGAAATCTGAACAGAGTCTAAGTTCAGTTAACAGTATTGTACCAATATTAATTCCCTGTCTTTGACAATTATATTGTTGTTACATACATGAGGGGGATTTGGTGAAAAGTACACAGGAATTCCCTGTATTACTTTGTAATTTTTCTGAACCCTAAAGTTATTTCAAAAGAAAAGGTTAAAAGAATACGTGGGTAGGAAGAGTATTTAGCCAGTGACCTGCGTTAACTTTTGCATAGCCACACAATGAGACATTCATTCACTTGTTCCATTTTTGTTGAGTACTTACTATATATCAGAGATCATTCTAGGTTCTAAAGATATATCAAAGATCAGAACAAAATCTCTTCATTCATGGAACTTATATTCTCCTGGGAGAAACATCAGAAATAAACAAACAGCAAAAATATATATATACCAGGAAATGATTAGAGCTATGAGTAGAAAAAAAGTAGGGTATCAGAATAAAGAGAGCCAAGGTGAAATGTGTAGTTTCATAAGAAATATCTTGGCAGTACTGTTGGTAATTGCCCTAAAATAGAAATGATGATTATCCACCAAAAAGAGAATGGATAAATACATTGGGTATATTCATGCACTCGGTTACTCTACATAAATGAAAATAACTAGTATAAAGCATATATATAACCATAATGCATCTAATAACCATAATAGTGGGGAAGAAAAGCATGTAAAATTGAAGTACAGTAATGCTTTCACTTATAAAACACTTCAAACCATGCAAAAGTAGTATGAATGGTTTAGTGCACACATGTGAAGACATGTATTTTCAAATGAGCATGGACATAAACGCCTAATGCTGGAGAGTTCTCATGCCTGGTACTGGAAGAAAGCAGGACTCTGCCTGAGGCAACTCACACGGGCTGTCAATGTGCTGACCGTTTTGACTAAATGTTAAGCCAAAGGTTAGGTACCCAGATGATTTTATCCTAGTCTTACTGTTTTGTACAACTGAACTATTTTTAATACCAAAATGTCAAAAAGTGTGTGTAGTAGTTCATCTTAATAAAAATAAGATATTTTAAATTCATAAATTTAGACAATTTTGAAAAGTATTTGACAAAATATATCACCCTCAATGTATATGTGTGTGTTACAACAACACTTTAATGCATAAAAATATATTTTATTATACATACAGGGTGGAACAAAAGTAGGTTTATGGTTGGGAGTACATGAAACTCAGAGTTTATTCTTATTATTTATTAATATTGTATTATTTTCTACATGAACAACTGTAAACCTAGTTTGTCCCTCCTTGTATGTAAGAACTTGTGCATCATTTATGCATATATATATATATATATGAGCATGGATTTATACTAGCTGTGGACCCAGTGCCAGCAGAGAAGGTACCAGCAATTGTATTTCTAACAACAGTAAAGAAAGGATTTGTCATAGATGACCCCACACCTTCAGCCCAGCCTTCTCCCGCTGCCCCATGACACACGCCACACATTGGCCAAGCAGTGGTCTGAGTTACAGTTGCATCCTATGGAACTGAGTATGGCCACTGGGCCTACTTAGGGATTGAACCTATTGTCATCAATTTAAAATTTTTCAATCTTTCTCTTTTAAGTGGGGTGGATGGTGCTAGATAATATTAATGTCATTATCTCCAGCAACCTCATTTTATAGAGAAATAAACTGAAACCAAGAGATTCCTCAGAGACAGCATGGGTGACACAGCTTAGCAATTTCCCTGGTTCTCTGCATCTATACTTGTTGCTTTACTAAATCCACACTCATGTGCAGATGCAAAAATGGAAATCCTACATGGAAGGAAAACCATCCTCATTCTCTGTACTTAGTTGAAAATGTGAATCATCTAAAGAATACATTCCCACAAACACAAACCAACAATGCAAACCACAATGAGCTAATCAGCTACTTTGCAGAAAACTGGAATGAAATTCTTCAAAATACAATCTTTTCTTTACTGTAATTCATATTTTGTAATGTGTAATATTAAGTGAACAAAGAATAATTTAGAAGGGGTGGACTAGAGCATTTTCACACTTTAGGAATTGTATATCTTTTCACGCATCTTTATTTTTAATTGAAAGGATACTTCACCATAAAATTATCAGGCTTCTTGGATCACCTTATGCAATATCCCTTTTGGTAGTCTGTCTTTGTGATCACAAAATCATATCCATCACAAGACAATTCAGTTGGACATACACTTAATGAGCATTTACTATGCACTCAACATTAAAGATCTAGGAATAAATATAGACAAACTTTAGAACACAGTATGGCACACCACATAATTTTAGAACAACACAAAATTTCCTGAGTATATTCACACCATTAGGCAGAAAATGAAAGGTATGATGAGAGTGATCATTCTTGGTGCTGAGGCTTATATTCAAAATTTTTCCAAAATGCAAATATACTCTATCATACCTTGATGATTTTGTTGAGTTATTAAACTTGTCAACTCCTTAGTTAAATTAGTTAAAAACTATTTCCAGGGATATTATTAATAATATTTTAATATTTGGCATTTTATAGTGAAAATTATAAACAAAATTTTAAGTTTATCGATCTTAACTATCCTGTTACTATTATATGTGCTATAAAACATCATCATACTATTTTAATATATCTTTTCTTTTAAAACCAACAATTTTTCCTAAATCCAAATAAAATAATATGTAATATACATATGTATGTATTCAATGTTTACCTTAAGAAGTAATTTTGGCCTACTAGAAATGGTGCTCTACGAATTAGCTTAACATTTAGACTATTTAGTTCCAGGATTCAAAACACCATCTTGTGCTGTAATGTCTGGGCCTTGTTCCTCCAAATATTTCTCATCACTCTGACCACGCTGACTGGGATTGAAGGCTATTCTTGTCCTGTAACCAACTGAACTCCTTCAAGCCTCCTAACTTCTCATGTAGTACATAATATTGTTCCCTTATTGTCTCCGAGCTATTGGGAATCATAGCAATAAAAATAAAAGAAAAGACACCAGTTTACTTGTAGTTAAATAGTTTAGGAGGCAGCCTGGCCATGTTTAAGTCCACGATACACTGGGCAAACATTTCACTGTAATTGCACTGCAAGGCTCTGAAGTTGCTTACTGTAGTCGCTGTTTTCGTCCTTGGTCCCATCAATGGTGCCATCTGGGTGCATCTGCAGGAAATATCCCTGCTGGCTGAATAACCTTGTCACGATTCCTTTCAGCTGGGGTTCTGAAAAAGAAAAAGAAATGATTATTCACATTTGTATTTTGTTTATAAAAATGCACACTTGCAAATTGTCAGAAACATCCTCTAAGTAAATGCATAAATGCCAATGGCTTAAAGATTAAAATACGTATTTAGAAAGGGGGTCTTTCAGTATCACATCTTCGCTTTCATTTTCCTTTAAGAGACAGAGCCATAATACTATGCAGCAATAAACCAAATGTAAATAAATAAAAGCTAATTATGGTTAGCAGAATACAGAGGCATACTAAAAAGTGAATTATTTCTCTATATCGTGTATCTAGTGTCTGACTGAAAGTTTATGGTCCCATTCCAGAATCACTGTTTAGACCAAACTGCCACTGTAATTCTTAAGCTTCCAGCAGTGATAATCAGCCCTTGGAAGACTTCAATTTCTGCTGACTGTCAACTATCCATCAGAAACTTCTGGGTTTTGAAATTCTGGTCAAGTTCAGCCAGAAAGAATGACTTGGATGAGAATCACAGGAAAGAGCAAAACTGATGGGCATGAGATGTCACTGGAAATGTGGAAACAGATTCACCTTCAGATAAATGCCTCCCCAGAGAAGAGCCCCAGTACTACAGTCATTTTTCCAGCCTTGAAATAAATCAATGCATGCGTATTTCTCTGTTTCAAAATAGAAGTGGTCCTCAGCTTATAAAAACTCTCTACTCACTACTACCATCAAACTGAACTTTGTATACTACATTTGAATTTTTGTGCATTGGCTAAAATAAATATTTAAAGCTTTCTCACCGGGGTGATGGCTTCCAGAAACATCTATTTTCTATAGCATCGCTACCATTTTTGTCTCCACTTCAGTGTTGAACAAAAATTACACTATTCTAGTGCATTGATAGCCCTAAATATTTCATAAAAATTAGAACAAAAAATATGCTTCTCATGATAAAAACTGAGGCAAAGATAGAAATCATATGATTGCTGAAGTAGCAACATGTTACCCTGAAAAGGAAAATCACTGAATTACAACTGACAGTCCATTTCATTCCTTTACCTATCTTTGCACCAATTTTCACTCTGAATCTATTTTTCTGTCAAGCAACATGCTAGGCACTGTATATTAGGCTGGACATATTTATTCATGTTTAGGTCTAAATAAGAATTCTAGTTAGGGATTTGATTAATTTAACTCACTGGAAATGGATCTGTTCCCTACAACATTTGTCTATAGTTAGCCTTTTGTACATATGACTTGATCATGTATATTTGGGGATATGAGGCAATGCCTATCTATATAAACATATCTTTTTCAAAGCAATACTAAGAAGCAAAAAGATGCCATAAAATTGGGAATGAGAAAGGAGGCTTATAAAAAAACTAAACTGAGAATTTGGCATTCTGATTGATAACTATAATTATCTTTGTAAGTTAAATTCAATTAATTTAATTTGTGTGCTTTAATTTCCTCATCAATAATATCTAGAAGTTAAACTAAATGAACTTTAGGTCCCTTCTGTGAGTCACTATTGGCTTTGAGTACATTAGAATCCTCTTGCAGAAATCAATGAATGAATGCATCTTCAATTTGTGGCTTTCAAGGGTCACCACTTAATCTGACACATGTTGGACATGTTGGGACATGTTGGAAGAACATGGAGCTAGCTAAACTCACCAAAAACACATCCTGTACCCCAATTACCAGCTACCAAACCTTACCAATTTTTCCAGGCTCAGCTTAAGGTCACCTCCTCCATAAAAACTTGGAGATCGTAAGTGAGAATCACTCTCATAATCAGGGGGAATGAGAAGAACACAGGTGCCTCTGCCATGAGGCTAACTGACTGACGTGCAGGTCCTGACATGGCACACAGAGCTCTCAACGTGCAATCAGAAGACCCAGCTTTGCACCATGATTGCCGAGTGGTCCTGAGAAAGTCATTTAACATCTAAGCCTCAGTTTCCACATATATATAGGGGAAAAAATAATTCCTATGCTAACTCTAATCATTGAGAATTTAAAATAAATAAATATGTGTGATAGTATGAACTGCAAAACCCCATATGATTATAAATCCTAATTAAGATTCAATTTTTCAACCATGAAAATTGAGGAAACGTGATATGAAAGGAGACTTCTTTGAACAGACTCTTTGTCTTCTGATTTCAGTTTTAATAAAATGATTAGACTGTAAAGTCACTGAAGTAAACAGAAGGTAAAGAGTAGAGGCAAGAGAAGGATAGAATGAAAGGGACAACTTTTATAATTCATATTTTCTTTCTAATTAGCTTGATACGGTCACTTTAAGAACTTATATTTTGGTTGGTAATGAGTCATTAATGCCTGCAAATGATTGTTTGTTTTTTAGTGATCCTCTTCTGTAGCAGTAATTAAACACTTCTTTTGCTATGGTGAAGTTCTCTGTACCCCACCCCCACCATTGGAGCCCTGGGAATTCAGGTTGGTTACTCCTGTTCAAGATAATGAGCATTAGGCTTTTATACCATCCCCCACAGCCCAAGAGCAATGCAAGAACAAACTCCAAGTTTGAGTTCTAATTATGCGATGATCAATGAAAGTGAATGTCTTGCACTACAGATGTTTCAAAGGAGACCTGACCATCCATTGAACAAATGTCCTGAGCCTAGGATGTGTCATAGAAAACAGTATTGCCTGCCTGACAGGTCTGTACCCTTAATCTCCTCTGTCAAACCATACCAACCTTTCTAAGTTCAGCTCAAGATCACCTTTTCTATGAAGGCTTAATGACCATACACAAGGATCAAATTTTATAACTGGGGGGACATGTTTTGTTGTATATTAAAGGAAGAGGGTCAAAATGAAACCAAATTTGACACATCTAGTATCCTGGGTGCATTCAACAAACATGCTTTTTATTTTTCAGGCAATGCATAGGGATCTAGTAGATTAATAAAACATGGCTGTCCTCAGGGAGGACCCAGAGTGGTGCATGAAACATATTTATATATAATACTAGTGTGGGGTGACTGTTAAATGATGGATAGAAGCAATGTGACATGATGGCACTGAGGAGTAAGGGAATAATCCTGTCTCAAGCACCTCATCTGTCACCTGAAGAGTGAGTAGAATTTTCACAGGCAAAAAATAAAATAAAGTAAAATAAACAGAGAAGGGGAGAAAGGACATTCCAGACATAAAAACAATGGAGGGAGGCACAAAAAACCAGCATGGTAGACTCTGGGGATGATGCAGAGTCTGGAATAGTGTAATCTATGGCAGAAATTCTCAATGCTGATGTGCAGGTGAGTGACTGCTCTCAACAAATGTTCACAGGTTAACAGTGAAATAAGAAAAATAGGGTCAATGAAATAAAAGTTTTGTTAAGATTTTTTTTAATTTATATTATTCTCCTGGATTCTGAGATTATGGTTTTTTTCATTATTTTTTCTTTTTTTTTAATTAATCAACAACTGTATTATTAGAAGGGTGAGGGGGTAACTTGTTACCTTTTGTATTCTGAAGTTGTATAGCAAACACTGTTAGCTTATCTCCCAAATTAATTTCCTCTTTTTCCTAGGCATCCAGCTAGACCATATGTCCTAGCCTTCCTTGAAGTTAGGTTTGGCAAATGAATTAAGTGTCACATGGAATTTAAGTGACAGTTATGTGTGCCATTTTCAGGCCATGGATTTTAAAAGCAAACATTCTCCTCCAAATTTTCTTTTCCTCAACATTGGTTGGATTTAGATGAAAAAGCTCTATGGGATGTCAGCAAAACAAGAATTCTGGGCCGTGATACACTGGTGAAGAAAAGACTGCCATCATAAATATCTACCTCAAATAATCAGATGACTAAGAAATAACTGTTGATCGGTTGTACATAGTGACTTCCTTCCTAAGATACAATGTAAAAAGGGGGCAGAAGGGAAAGGAGCAACTTTACAGTGGAGAAATCTGACAAGCAAAACACTACCTCAGTCACGTGATGTTAACATCAACAATCATAAATCGTGTTGATAGTATGTACCCTTGATATGATGTGATACCAAACTAATGTAAGATGCTAATATGAAAAAGAAAAATGGTGTAGAATATAGGGGATTCTGTGTACTATCTTAACTTTCCTGTAAATATAAAACCAATGTAAAATTTTAAAGAACCATAGACGCTAATAAGATATTTTATCCTCAGAGAAAATGGCTGAAAAAAAAAGGGTAAGAACTCAGACTACTGGAAGTCCTAGCCACAGCAATCAGACAAGAAAAAAAATGAAAATGCATCCAAACTAGGAAGGAAGAAGTAAAACTGTCATTATTTGCAGATGACATGATACTGTACACAGAGAACCCTAAAGATGCTAGTAAATAATGAGTAGAACTGATACATGATTTCAGTAAAGTAGGAGAATGCAAAATTAATAGTTATAAATCAACTGCAATTTTTATACACCAATAATGAGCTATCAGAAAGATAAATTAAGGAAATAATCTCATTTAAAGTATATCAAAAAGAAAAGCCCTAGGGACAAAGTTGACCAAGGAGGTAAAAGACCTATACATGTAAGAGTATAAGACATTAAAAGAAGAAATTAAAGAAGATAAAAATAAATTGAAGCACACACATTTTTCATGGTTAAGAAAAATTAACATTGTTAAAATGTTCATACTATCCATAGTAATCTATAGATTCAATGCCATCTATATAAAAATACCAATGACTTTTTTCATAGACTAAAACAAATAATCCAAAATTGATATGGAACCACAAAAGACCCCAGATCACCACAGCAATCTTGAGAAAAAAGAACAAAGTTGGAAGTATCACACTATACAACAAATTATTATATAACAAGGCCATAATAATCAAAACAGCATGGTCCTAGCATAAAAACAGACCTAGGTATCAATGGAACAGAATAGGGCCCCAGAAATAAACCCTTTCTTATATGGTCAATTAATCCATAACAAAGGAGGCAAGAACATGCAATGGTGTAAAGGCAGTCTATTCAGTAAATGGTGTTGAAAGAACCAGACAGATAATACT